TCATTGTTGTTTTTGGCTGGCCGGGCTGGATTCGAACCCACCACCTTAGGTGTATGTGGCTGGCACCTTAGCCACTTGAGCCACAGGCTTACTCTTTTTTTCTTTAGTTCTACCGGGTCGACATAAAATTCGTGTGCAGTTTACTATGTTTAACTATTTTAAATTGTACACAGACTTTTTATGTCCACCTGTATTTCTATTTGCCTGTCTTAACTCTGCTAAAATTCTCTATTTTTTCACTTCTCATACCATCTTTTCCTGTGGATTCTTTATACTTATTATAGTTACTTCGAAGTTCTTATCTATAAATCCAATACCTGGATCATTTGAGAGTCTGTTTCTATTAATTTCTTTCTCTTAACACTGAGTCAGATGTTTCTGATTCTTTACATATCTATTATTTTTTGTTCGTTTGGGGTAGACACTGTGAATGATACATTATAGAAACAGAGGAACTGTCTTACCATCCTCTGGAGACTGTTGAAAACAGTTAAATTCTGGCAGATCAATTGATACTGTAGGAGCTTGGCTTTAGCCTTTCTCAGGGTAGATTTACTTACAAATCTTTGTTTTGCTGTAGAGTATTACTCTTTGTCCTAGTTCATAATCCTTACTCTTTGAAGGTATAGTCCTTTTGTTAAATTGAAAACTCAAGATGTTAATCCAGACCTTCAAGTTATAAGAACTTGGACTCCAAACTTTGTATGACCAACACTAGGCAGATGATAAAATTGCTGTTGATTTCTTTCAGCCTTCCAACTATAGATTCCCCTAGGCTCCTTGGAACTTCTTTCCACATATATACTGTATGGGAGTCTGTAGTTAAATAGAAATTTGTATATAGATTTTGGAGCTCCCTGCTTTGTGGCTTACTTCTTTCCAAGCTGTTATCTGGCAGCCTGAAACTTCTGACACCTCAGCCTGGTTAGACTACAAGTTTTTATTTGAATTCCTTTCCCTATGTTAAATGCACACACACCGGAAAAAAACAGAAGTATTAGTGTTCTCCAGAAAAACAGAACCAATAGGAGATTATAAAGAGAGAGAGAGAGATTGAGTGAGTGATTATAAGGAATTGACAATTATGGAGGCTAACAAGTCCCATGATTTGCACTTGGAAAGCTGGCAACTGAGGAAAGCCAATGGTGTAGTCTGTGTTTAAAGACTGAAAACCAGGCCTGGTTTTCTTAGTGCATAGTGCCAATGTAAAGGCCACCTAGGCTTGAGACCCAGAAAAAAACCAATGTTTAGCTTGAGTCTGAAGTCAGGGAAGAAACCAATATCCCAGCTTGAAGAAAATCAAGAAAGAGGAATTTCCTTTTATTTGAGAAAGGGTTAACTTTTTTGTTCTGTTCAAGCCTGTAACTGATAGGATGAAGCCTATCACATAAGAGAGAGCAATCTGCTTTATTTAGTCTAAAAATTTAAATGTTAAACTCTTCCAAAAACATCCTTCAGAGTTTATAATTTTGGTCAGCAAAAGTATGGGTCAATTAAATATGGCCTATGGGCTAAATCCAGTCAGTTTTTGTAAATTAAGTTATACTGGAACATAGCCACAACCATTTTTTTTTGTATTGTTCACGGCTACTTTCACTTGGTAGCAGTAAAGTTCAGTAGTTGCTGGAGGTTGCAATGCTTAAAATATTATCTGGCCCATAACTAATAGTAAAATTAGTCCTATAAAGGAGACAAAGAGCAGAATAAAAAGGGTGGGGGAAAAGAGGAAACAACCAGTGTGAACAGGAGTGATTAGTAAAGCTTTATAGAGCTAATAGTAATTGGTCTGACTCCAAAGAATCATGACATTTGGAAATATGAGGGAATTATAGGCGGGGTAAATGGATAAGTCAGGAAAAAGAAATACTTGAATTCTGATACAGATGCTTATCAGACTTAAATATAGTATTCTCATCTAAAAAGATAGAAAAATAAAGTTGAGAAAGATTGTGAAGGGCAGAAGATTTCAGAGAAGAGTTTTAACTTGATTCTACCAAAGATAGAGAGGCTTTTAAGATACTAAGAGTAGAAGCTATTTCAGATTATTGTTGTAAGCCAGAACTGAGGTGATAAGGGTTGTGACTCAAATACAACTTTGGAAAAAAGAGTCAAATGACATTATGAAGGAAAAAAATTGAAAGAATATAAACATATAAGTCACTGCATTTATATAGATACAGCCATTTTATATGGTGTAACAGCCATAACAGCTTATGGTGGGTCTAAGCTGACTCTAACGTTTCAAGTCCTTATAGATGTTTAATAGAAGTGGTAAGCCAAAGGCAGATACTGAGTAGGAAAAATGATATGATGTTATCTCTTTGAATTTAGTTGAATTTAGAAGTGGTAATGTCTAAGTCTGAAACAGAACTGAAATCTGATCAAGAGTACAGGACTATGGCTATAGGTTAGAAAGCTCTCTAATATGAGTGCTGGTTAAAACTTTGAAGAGGAGAGTGATAGAGTATGAGCTTTCTTAGGGATATAGTATAGAGATACTATCCAAGGCCATGTTCAGAGCCTTAGAGATATATGAGATAGATGTAATTCATTTGGGCAAATTGAGAAGTTATGGTTTAACATACTAGATTGATAAAAGTGCAGTATTTTCATATAATATTTGTTGTCTTAAAGAGATAAATTTGCTAGGTGTTCTACCTGCAATTTAAATATGTAGTGACATTTAGTTTATAGCTTCATTGTCTATCCATACATAGTACAGTTTAGTAGCCATTAATGCTGTGTAGCAATTGAGCACCTGAAATATATCTTTGTAACTGAGGAATTGAATATTTTATTTTAATTATTTTAAGTTTAAAAATTGATGATCCATTCAGTTATTAGGAAATTTTTAAGTATGTTTGGAAGACTTGAGTATGTGAATCTAATTTCTCAACTATAAATTTTGTGAAATCTAAATATACATCAAGTATTTATAATGAAAATTTAGCATCCAAATTAAATATGCTGTAAGTGTAAAATACCCACCAGGTTTCAAAAACCTCATATTAAAAACATATTTTACATTTATTTCATGCTGAAATGCTGGTATAAAATATATTGTTACTTGTTTCATCTGTCTCTTTTTACTTTTTAAAAATGTTCTTACTAGAAAAATTTAAATTATCTAGATGGCTTGCATTATTTTTTTTGGATAGCACCGATCTATACATTTAGATTACTCATAAGTAAATAATAATTGAAAATTTACATGATATTCCCTTCAGTTATGATCTTTCCCTTAAAAGACTAAATAAATTAGAAAAGTGTAATGATCATTATTAATTACTATGATAATAAGTATATAATTGAGCATAAGCTATTAAATTATGAATTACTAGATTCTCTTAGATCAGTGGTTCTCAACCTTCCTAATGCCATAATGTATTTTCATTGTTAAAAAGGGGTTGTGACCCACAGGTTGAGATCAGCTGTCTTAGGTACTTAGGATATTATGTATCTAGTTTTATATATTAATATATAAATTAATGTAATTATATATTAACATGTTCTAATATATAATATAGTTTCTTTTTATTGTAACTATACTTATTCAATTCTTTTTGTTTATATAGTTCTTAAATTCTTTTAATAATATTTTCCTGGGGTTTTATATATATATATTTTGAGATAGGATCTCACTCTATTACCCAGGCTAGAGTTGGAGTAACATCAACAGAGCTTAGTGCAACCTTGAACTCTGGGCTCTAGTGATTCTCCTGTAATCATTCTGCCAAGTAACTGGGACTACAGGTGCACACCACCATGCTTGGCTAACTTTTCTATTTTTTTATAGAGACAGGGTTTTACTCTGTTGCCCAGGCTAGGCTACCATGATATCAGCTTAGCTCACAGCAACCTCAAACTCCTGGGCTCAAGCAATCTTTCTCAAGCCTCCCAAGTATATGGGACTATAGGCACCCACTACAGTGCCCAGCTAATTTGTCTATTTTTGGTAGAAATTGGGTCTCACTCTTGCTCAGGCTGGTCTTGAACTCCTGTGCTCAATTGGTCCTCCTGCCTCATCCTCCGAGAGTGCCAGAATTATAGGTGTGAGCTACTAAGCCTGGTCTTTTGTGACTATATTTAAGTCAGCACAAGTCTGTTTACTAACTAGCTAACCTGTGCTAGAATATTAGGAAGAATGTGTTTTCATTATTACAAAGAATAATCATGGCAATCATAATATTTTTGCTAATCTCATGATTACTTTTGTGCTACAGTATAAATATGTAAGACATAGTAAGATTAGTGTTCTTTATATAGCTGTCCACTAAAGTTACATAGACAGTACATGAAAAAATAATGAATGGAATCCTTCTTAATCTCCACTGTGATACTCTAATCTAGAATAATTTCTTGGCAGCGCCTGTAGTTCAGTGGGTAGGGCACTGGCCACATACATCGAGGCTGGCAGGTTTGAACCTGGCCTGGGCCACCTAAACAACAATGACAACTGCAACAAAAAAATAGCTGGGAGTTGTGATGGGCACCTGTAGTCCCAGCTACTTGGGAGGCTGAGGCAAGAGAATCACTTAGGCCCAAGAGTTTAGGTTGCTGTGAGCTGTGACATTACGGCCCTCTATTGAGAGAAGGACATAGTGAGACTCTGTCTCAAAAAATAAATAAATAAATAAGTAAATAAATAAAATAGAATTATTTCTTATACTACTTTCCAGAAAGGAAGAATCAGAAAAGAAATTATTTATTTATTGAATAAATAGTGATTGAACCTTTTAGTATGTGTCAGAACTATCCTCATATTTTAGGAAGGAGCTAAATAACATGATCTCTGCCCTTTCAGAGTCATAGAGTAGATACCAGAATTGAAATTTACTATTAATAATGCCTTACATGCTGACATCTACATTTGCACGTTGTAGCAATTTTCAAACCTATCTCTATAAGCAAATTACCCACCTACCTTTGTGCAATTATAGATGTCCAGACTTTACCCTCAGAAAGTAAGACTTACTATATTTGCAGTAAGCTTATGCTTGAGTGTATTTTAAAAGTTCATGATTCTAATGTATAGCAAGTATTGAGAAATTCTAGTGTAACAACTTATAGTTCTTTTATGATTTATACTGTTTTATTTGGATAATCTTTTCTCGTAAGTAGAGTGGGTATTACTATTCTGTAACCATAAGATTAACAAATTAAAAAACTAAAAGTGACAAGATCATGTAACTCATAAATATCTAAGTTAGATCCAATAACCAGGTTATTTAACTCTGCAGAGAAAAGTATTTTTTTTTAATTAAACTGATTACCAAAAAATAAATTGGGTTTATCTTTTATGTTAAGGCTGAAGAAAAAGATGAATTGCTACACTTCTTCCAAATTGTGACTGATTCTCTCTTCTGGCTATTGGGCGGCCATGTTCAACTAATACAGAATGGTAAGAGAAAAGACTTTAATGTAATTGATAGCCGTTGTAGAGTCAACTGCTAACAGTTTGATGGATTTTTTTTTCCTAAAAATAAATATCTTATTACCTATACAGAGAAACAGTGAAATGAAACCATTGTTGAAATAACTATGCAATTAAAAAAAGCCTATTTTGATGTTCTAGTAGCCAACATGGATAATATGAATATTATATTGAGAATATTGCTAAAATATAACTTTCTTCTTAGCTTTTTCTATTTAGGAAATCCAAGAGGAAGATTACTGATAATCTGAATAGTTTAGTCTAGGAAAAATAATTATTTAATAAGTTACTATAAGTGTTTTATACCTACTGTAAAAGAAATTCCTTTTTGCAGAATAACTGATTTAACTCATAGCCTAACTATCCTGGTAAGAGTAACCTTTTATGTGACTTTTTAGTGAACTTTAGTTATTTTTTAGGATGCCTTTGTTTCCATTGAGAAATATAAAGATGTGTTAATTTTGTTTTCCTGGGCGGCGCCTGTGGTTCAGTGGGTAGGGCGCTGGGCCCATATACCAAGGGTGGCGGGTTCAAACCCAGCCCAGGCCAAACTGCAACAAAAACATAGCCAGGCCTTGTGGCGAGTGCCTGTAGCCCCAACTACTTGGGAGGCTGACGCAAGAGAATCCTAAGCCCAGGAGTTGGAGGTTGCTGTGAGCTGTGTGATGCCATAGCACTCTACTGAGGGCAATAAAGTGAGACTCTGTCTCTACAAAAAAAATAATAATAGTAATTTTGTTTTCCTAAGACAGAAAATAATCTTTAATGATAATACTTGGGCTGAGATATATTTTTAATTTTATTTTTTTCCTTCAGAATTACACTTGCATATACTTTAAATATAGTTCCATAAGAATTGTTTTTAAAAAACACCATTACTGGCCCTCACATTCTGCTCTTATGGAGATTTAAAATTTCCATAGTAAAAACTTTAAATAATCAATAGATTGATAGGCAAAGTGTCAGTTTTTGTTTGGAGGAATGGTAGCAATAAGGTACCACTTTACCAGGTAGTTACCTGACTACAGTTGAAAAACAGAAGAGGCTTCGAACACAAGTTATATGATAATGTATTATAAGACAAACAATCTGAAAAATAAAATAGAATGACTATTTAATAAATTATTTTAGCATAAATTTTTCAATGTAGGAAACAAGATAAATTTATGAATATACTACATGTCATGATTTCAATGAATTCAAAAATAATTGAAGGATTATTAAACATTTTAAAGTAGAAAAATGGAAAATACACTTTAGCTATAGAGAAGAGTTTTTTTGATGCTAATGTAATAGGAAATAAAAACCCATAGAAATATTTAATAGTAGTAGGATTGTTTTTCTAAGTTGTTAAACCTTTTTATAAATTGATCTAATGGAATATTGAACTATGTAAATAGAAGTGAAGAAAAGGAGTTAATATGGGAAAGAAGTCAAGTCTGTTTTCTTTGCACATAAAAAGGGAAAAAGAATAAAGTTGGTTTGTAGAAGTTTGGGTACTGTTCTTAGAACCAGGTTGCCAGTCTACTAATCTCAGTTTAATTAAAATGTTAATCAGTTATTGGAGCAGGAAATAGAAACTGACATTTACTGGAAATGTTCCCTGGTCTACAACATTATACATTAGCCCATATTAGAAATATTATTTCTATTTTACAAATGAAAAATACTGGTTCTGGAGGTTAAGCAACTCACATAAGTATCTAATACTAAGTCTTCATAACTGTTCAAAGCCTAATAGTTATAAACCAATAAAAATAATTTTTTGGAGTTAAATGTTTTCATCATTATTTAAGACATTATATAACAAAGTTAAATTCTTTTAAGGAAATATGCAACAGATTATAGAGTCTGTGCCATTTCTATTTCCTTATATTCTCTCTTCTTTGCAGGAAATTTGTGTTTTTCTCACTGAAATTTATTCCTAGAAAAGAGTTTCAGATTTAGGATATGTAATTTTATTTTCATTTTAAAGAAAGAGAACAGTAGATTCTTTTTTTTTTTTT